TTTGGAGAGGACAGAATCACAGATAGCTGTGGCATCTTTGTTGATATGACAGAAGATGTTCCATTTCACACCACCCATGAAATAACTGTAAGGAAATAAAACTAATACATTCCACTGCCTAAGGCTCGCCATCCTAGGAGATACTTGCAAGGACTTAATGGTCTTTTTACTTTGTGTCCTCACCTCCCCCGTCTCTCATTCGGAGAGCTCCTGGCATCTAGGCCCCGATAAGATGGCTGTTAGGAGACGCTAGTCTACCATCTTCTCAGTCAGCCAGCTTTCCAAGTACAGCCGTGCTCCTCGCCTCAACACCTCATCTCTCACCTTTATTGGCCTCGGGTGTGGCGCAGAGTGAGCTTGAACTTGGTAACAACTGGGCGTGCCAGTGCGGGACTTTTGCTGCTCCTGGCTCGCCACATTGAGACGGGAACCTAAGCAGCTCCTGGACCGACTGTTCTGGGAGTCTTTCCCTCAAGATTCCCTGAAAATGGTGCCAGCTGCCCCCAGCACGTCACAGTTGTAACAAGGATCTGACTTAATTTGTAGGGTTAAGTCTACCCAATTCAATAGCCAGCTCATTTGTTTTTGGTTTGTGTGCCCCTCTGTGTCATAAGTTGACAGGCTTGGGTTTTGTAGGGTAGATCAATCTGGTGTGCACACTGGGAACATATTCCTCCCTCGCTTAGGACTTTTCATTTTTGGGACAAGCCAATTTGGTTGAGGTACCCTGTTTGGGGTGAGGGGAAGGTGTTTTTTGGACTATCCAAGTGGGAACTGATTCATCTGGGAGCTAATTCTTGTGAGGCAGGACTAGTCTAGTTGGAATTGGTTCCTTTGTTTTGTAGGCTGAAATTTATTTACTTGATTTGGGAGCCAGATCATCTATGCCATTGGTGCTGGACTTTGTGCTGTTTTTGTTGGAATTTGTCTACGTCCTTGTGTCTTGGTGTTACAAAGCTAATAGAAATGGGGAGTACTCCATCTATCCCAAAGGAAAGCCCTCTGGGGCATATATTAGATAAATGGGCAAAATATAGCCATTAGCCTATGACTAAGAAAGATATAATACTGTAATGAAGTGTGGACACAATATATTTTAGGATCAGAAGAGCGAAGACACCTAAATGACTCCCCCAATTATTATACAATTTCATGGTTAGAAATGTTCTGCAAAATAGCAGGAAAGAAAGATGAAATTCCATAAACAGAAGCATTTATGCTATTACATTATTACATCAGGAGAATAAGAGTCGAGGACTACTGCCTTGTGGGGCAGTGACCTAAAAGGAAGCCCAAGGGAAAGCCCACTCCACAATGGGAGAAGGTGGGAGTGGGGAAAGGTTACGCCAGAGCCTGAACCCCACTGGCTGAGCAGGCTGCGCCACCCATGTCCTCAGCATATTCACCGCTTTCCTTGCCTCCTGTTTACACTGCCGATGGGGAACAGACAGACGTTTCATGGTAACCCCCGAGTCACAGGGACCTGGTCGGGTGTCACCATCCCAGACCCGACAGGGCACCCAGTTTGGCCTGGGAGCCACTTCAGCAACAGGGTGACTCCCCTTGCGCCAAGACCCCAGGGGGCCTTAATGCAAATGGCCAGCCCGCTGGGTTCCTGCTAACTCACACTCCTTTCTCCGCCTTGGATTTTCTTATCTGAGAAACCATATCCCGGCTCACCAAGAGGACCCACTCTGCACAACTGAGCATTTCACCTCCATATCTGCCACTCCCCACTCCACTTGGGTGGATAGTCACACGCTTATGGATTTGACATTAACTGAAGAGGAAAGGGGAGAAGGCAATGGCACCCCACTCAAGTACTGTTGCCTGGAAAATCCCGTGGATGGAGGAGCCTGGTAGGCTGCAGTCCATGGGGTCGCTAAGAGTCGGACATGACTGATCGACTTCACTTTCACTTTCACTTTCATGCATTGGAGAAGGAAATGGCAACCCACTCCAGTGCTCTTGCCTGGAGAATCCCAGGGATGGCGGAGCCTGGTGGGCTGACGTCTATGGGGTGGCACAGAGTCTGACACGACTGAAGTGACTTAGCAGCAGCAGCAGCAGCAGAGGAAAGAATGGTTATTGACAAAGTTAGGGAGGAAGCGCACCAGCTCCATCTGGTGGATCTGAGTGCAACTCACAAAGCTGGTTGCAGTCTCCACTGTGAGCCCAACTGGGACCCTAATAACGGGGGCACCCCACTTCTAGAACATTATGGATGTATTTTAATGAGTCTTTGAAAAGGAGTGCCCAGACAAAAGAGCTTAAACAAAATTCCGGAGCTAAAACAAGAACCAAACGAAGATCCATCAGAGTTTCTAGAAAGGCTTTATCAGGCTTATAGGCGATTCACAGAGCACACTCTGAGACCCATGAGAACATGAGAATGGTAAATATGACCTTTGTCGGACAAAGCACCCCAGACACAAGGAGGAAATTACAGAAGTTAGATGGTGGGTTTGGAATGAAATTTTGTCTATTAGTAGAAATTGCTTTTAAGGTATTCAACAATAGGGAACAGTGCAGAAACAAGGTGAAAAACAGAAGGCGGCCCTTCTGGCAGCACCCCTGAAGACAAACAGCCTGAAGGAAGGTCAGCCACCGCTGGGGAAGGAACAATGTACTTAGTTAGGAGAAAGGGCGTTGGAGAAAAGATTGCTCTAAGCTGAAAAATAACAAAGTGAAGGCAGGAGCCCCTCTTGGCAAGGAGAGGAACACTCCTGATGATGGATGCAAAGGCTGGGGGCTCTCTTGGACTTAAAACGTCTGATCTTAATTTCCCCCAGGAGGCCCAGGTAACACTGACAGTGGGGAACAAGTTGATTTGACTTTCCAGTAGACGTGGGTGCCACCTACTCTGTGGTAAACACCAAAGCAGCAGAGAAAACATCCCAGTCTATCCAGGTCATGGGGATTTCTGGATAGGTAAAACAACTAAACATTTTTACAACCTCTGGAATGCTAACTAGGGGATCTCACCCTTCCACATAGCTTCTTACATAAGCCAGAGGGCCCAATTCCCCTGGAGGACAAGATCCCCTTTGTAAACTAAACGCTCAAGCAGCCATCTCACCAGAAGAGCTTGACATCAGGGCTCTGCTGGAGCATGCCTTGGGCCTACAAGTGGCACTCATACAGACCCCAGGAAAGGAAGCAGAACTCCTTCTCCCGGAAGTCTGCCACGAAGTAAAGCCGTAAGCGTGGGCTGATGGCACACTGGGGAAGGCCATAAATGCAAGGCCAACATGAAGCCCACTAAAAAGGGTGCTGGGGTACCTAATTTAAAACAATATCCCCTGAGGCAAGATGCCCAAGAGAATCCAGTCAATTCTGGAGAAGTCTTTAAAAACAGGACTGATCAGACATAACACCCCTATCCTCCCAGTAAAAAACCAAACTCAGGAGAGTATTGCCTCGTTCAGGACTTGAGGGCTATTAATGAAGTAGTCCACAGCTTACACCCTGTGAGGCCTAATCCACACACTCTGCTCACAACTGTTCCCAGAGAACACAGTTGGTTCTCAGTCCTGGATGTGAAGGATGCTTTCTTCTGCACTCCTGTTGCAGAAGAATTGCAGCTGCTATTTGCCTTTGAATGGCAGGACCTGGGAATACAGCCAGTCCAACACTACTGTTGGATAATCCTGCCTCAAGTGTTCAAAAATTCCCCTGCCTTGTTTGGGGAAACGCTGGCTAGAGACTTAATGTTGGATGAAGGACTTTTGCTCCAATACGTGGATGACATGCTCATGCAAGCCCTACATATGACTAGCATCTAAAGAATACTGTCAGGACCCTGAACTATTTGGCCAAATGTGGATATAAGATCTCCCAGGAAAAAGCCCAGATATGCAAACATGCCACATATCTGGGCTTTGTCCTCTCCCAAGGACAACTGGACCTCTTGCCTGACAGAAAGCAAGCAACTACAGGTTTGGGAGCACCGAAGATGTGCAGACAACTGAAAAGTTTTCTGGGAATGGCAGGGTTTTGTCCGATTTGGATCCCAAATTATGGGCTCACAGGGAAGCCCCTGAGACACTGAAGGGACATGACCTTGAGCCTCTTACTTAGAGTAAAGAGGGCCAAACAGCCTTTGAGACAATAAAAAGGAACTTAGTCTCAGATCCAGATTTGGACTACCAGGCCTAAAGAAACCTTTCAAACTGTATGTCCACGACACATTAGATAAGCCTTGGGATGCTAATCCAAACCCTGGGAAATGTCCCCCAACCTGCTGCCTACTTCTCAGAAGAACTAGAACAGCCTGCCAAGGGCCGGTCTCCTTGTTTGTGAGCTGCGGCAGCTACTTGTGACACGCTTCAGGACTCTGAGAGGCGAGCCCTGGGGCAATCCACTTTGTGTGCGCCTCATCATGTCCTCCATTTGCTGGAACAAAAAGGGGACTGTGGGCTGCCTTCAGGACAGTACTAAGCCATTCTCCCTGACAACCCCCATGTGAGACTCCAGCCCTGAATCCAGCACAGCACTCCTGTTTAATGCTGCGCCCACAGGTCATAGAGCTGTGAACTCCAGCAGACCAGACCTAACAGACAAGCCCCTGGCTGAGCCGAAAACAGAACTGGTCACCGACGGACCTGGCTCCATGGACCAGTGTCAGCGTGCCAAGGTGTGCAGTGGCGACCCTGACACAGAGGTGGAGGCAGAAGCCCTGCCCCGGGAGCTCAGCTCAGAAACCACTGCCTCAACAGGAGCTCTGCGCAGCCCCTGGGGGCCCGGTGCCCCACGGGCCGCCTCCCCCTGAAGAGAAAAGACAGGAGTGCCGGGGGCGCAGTGCTTTTATTATGACTGGGGGTGGGGAGCGGGCACAAGCGCAGCTTCCAGCCAGGCCGGCGGCTCCGGGTCTGCGGCGGGGGACGGTGGTGGACGGCGGTGGAGGGGGGCGGCTGTGCAGGGTGCGGACAGTGCAGAGCAGGAGAAGGTGGGTCAGGAGCGGCCGGTGAGGAGGAGGTCCTGGAGAAGGAGGTGCTGTTCTACTTCCAGCGCCCGGTGACCTTGGCCTTCCCTCGGGTCTTGGAGCTGCAGGAAGCAGGGCCCAGTCAGGGGGGACGGGTTGGGGGGAGCCTCCGGGGGCTTTGGGGGTGCTGAGGGCTGACAGGGGCAGGGGCACGCTGAGTTGCCTGTAGAGGCTCAGCCCAAAGCAGCCTCGTTGGGGGCAGGGGCCTGACCACAGGAGTGGGGAGGGGCCGGGAGACCTCGGGGGCCAGGGGCTGGGGGGGAGGCGGGGAAGGGCTGGAGTCAGACACTCACACTTTCTGGTTGTCGTTGATCCTGTTTCGGAGAACATTGATCTGAAAGAAACAGCGGGAAGAGTAGCCCAGACACCCCCTGGGGAGGCGGGGGTCCCAGAGGCCCCGGGGACTGGGCGGGGCCAGGGGGGTAAGTGGTCCTCCTGCCTGTCGTCTGTGAGGCAGGGACCCTACTGCCTCTCCCAGGACCCACACTGGGGCCCCAAGTGAGCAGTGCGGGGAGTGAAGGGGCCAGATCACTGGTGAGCCCCTGACTCCACAGGAGGCCTGGCCTGTGTGATCAGTCCTCCCGTTGGACTCAGGGCACTGAGCTGCTGCCACAGGCCAGAAGTGGGGGCCCTCAGGGCTGGATCGCCAGGAAGTGTCTGCTCAGCCCCAGTGACCCTCAGGCTCTAGGAGCACCAGCCCCGGCAAGGGCAGGGAACACCACCAGACAGGCCCCAGCGGGTGTGGGGGGACAGAGGCTGCCAGTGGGAGCGCGGGCAGCAGCCGCTCACCTCATATTTCTGCTGCTTGAACTTCTCCTGCAGGTCAAACTTCTCCGCCTCCAAGTCGTAGATGTTCTGCCACAGCTCCTTGGCCTTTTCCCTGCACAGGCCAGCAGGAGGGGTGGGCGGTAAGAAGGTCCCCGCCTGCCTGTATCTGGATCCTGACCCCCCGGCCCTGCCCTCCTTCACCCACAGGCCCCGCACCCTGGCTCGGCCTGGGCAGTGCCCAGCACTGCAGGCGGATGCCAGTGCTGCCAGGACAAAGCCTCGGGATGTGGAGCTGGGGAGCCCTGGCGGGAAGGAGAGGGAGCCAGGTGCCCCCTACCAAGAAGCCCCAGGCCAGCCTCCCAAAGCCCCCGCGGGAAAGTGGGGTAGCAGCACCCGGTGACACGAGGCAGGATGCCCTCTGGAGGTGCAGCCCCGCAGGCGGCCCACCTCAGCTGGTCTTCGTTCAGGTGGTCAATGGCCAGCACCTTCCTCCGCTCAGCCAGAATCTTCTTCTTCTTCTCCCGCTCTGTCTGTCTCTTCCCACTTTTACGCTCCGTCTGGAGAGAAGAAGAAGCAGGGGAGGGACTAGAGAAGCCCTGCCTTCCCTGCATCCCCAGGCCTGGCAGGGAGACAGGCCTGCCTGCAGCAGGGCCCATGCTCATCTCCCTGCTGCACACCCAGGCCAGCAACGCCCGGCCTCCCCAGAGACACTGCATCCCCCACCCACTTCCAGCCCAGCACATTGCCCTCCCCAGGCTCCCCAAAGGAGAGGAGAAGGACCTGAGGACCAGAACCTACCTCGGCCTGCACAGCGGGACAGCGGGAGAAGAGCCCCAGAGAAAGACAGAAGAGGCGACAGACAGAGGGAGGGACAGGGACAGAGCGGAGACATGGAGGACAGGCGTCAGCCGCCGCAGGCGGGCGGGGCCAGGGCCAACTGCCAGCAGGGCCCTGCTTGAGGGTCACCAGGAGGCAGGGCCCAGGGGCTAGCCGGGTCCATGGCACAGAGAGTTCAGCTCCCCCTTCCCCTCCCTCCAGGAATGGGGGGGCGTGGGCAACCACACTAGGCCCTGGGATGGGCCCTAGGAGGAAACCAGCCCACATCCAGGCAGCATTCAGCTGCTTTCCAAGGTAGCCTGACCATCTCAGAGCAGGCAGATGGCACCATTAATGACATCCTACAAATGGAGAGAAAGCCTCCAGGCTGCGGGAGGCCACACCAGGCAGACCTGAGATGGGGCTCCGAGCCTGCGGGCTGCACCAGCCGCCAGGGGCCAGGGCTGGGAAGAGCACTGGTGCTCTGGACTCGTGGGAGCCCCCAGCCTGGCAGCTCCTCCCAGGGAAAGCCAGACGGGCAGAGCCAGCTCAGGGTCTGGGTGTGAGGACGTGGTCTCCCAGCGGTGGCTGGGTCTTTCTCTCCGGAACCCCCGCAACAGCACGTGTGCCGCAGCAAGAGGAGCCGGAGGCCCCCACCTTCTGGATGTAGCCTCCGAAGTGCATCATATTGGACAGAGCCTTCTTCTTGCGCGCCTCGTCCTCCGCCTTCCTGCGGCTCTCCTCCTCCTCTCGGCGGGCACGCTCCTCCTGGTTCCCGCGGGCAGAGAGTGGGTTACACTGGGGACCAGACGCCCTGGTCCTGAGTCTGGGCCAGCACTGAGTGCGCGCCCGGCACAGGCCTGGCGCTGGAGGTGCCCGGCGGGAGAAGAGGGTTGAACAGATGGGCTCCGATTCCCGAGGGTCTGCTCCCCTCCAGGCCAGGAGGCCCTGCGGTGGGGGCCCACCTGCAGCAGCGCCAGAGGGGGCTGAGGGGCTCAGCTCCCAGGGGCGTGCTGCGGAGGGATGGAGCGTCTCCTTAGACACTCCGGGCATCTCTGTCTCCTCCGCTGTCAGAGCTGGGACAGCGACCCTGGGCCCCGAGGACGGAGACCTGCAACCACTCACCGCCAGACGCGTCTGCCGCTCTTTCTCGCGCTCGGTACGGATGCGCTGCTGCTCCGCGCGCTCGGCCCGCCTTTTCTCCTGCGGGGGGAACGGAAAGAGTGCGGTCACTCGGGACGGACCTCAGCCCCCGGAGAGGGCCTGGCGGCCTTCGCCGCGACCCCTGAGTGCCACCGCCCCCGCCCTCGCCGGTGTGCACGCCACCCTGTGCTGGGAGGTGGAGGCCAAGCTCTGCGGAGCAGAAACGGGCTAGGCGGAGGGGCTGGGGGGTGGAAGAGAGAGAATCCAGGCTCAGGGGAGCCGCGTGCCCTCCATCACTAGGACGGGGTTGTGCCCAGGGGGCGGAGATGCCGACTCGCCTCTGCCCTGGGGGATGGGGGATGGGGGGGGAAGAGAGCGCGGGGCGGGGCCCTAAGGGCTGCTACTGGACCTCCTCCCGGCCGCCCAGAGGGCGCAACACCCACGATCCTGTCTTTGAGGGAGACCAGCTCCTCCTCCTCCTTCTTGCGGTTCTCGAAATGCGCCTCGATCAGCGTCTGCAGCTCGTTGAGGTCCTTCTCCATGCGCTTCCGGTGGATGTCCTGGCGGGGGTGGGGGGGGGGGGCGCAGCACTCAGACGTGACCCCGCCCGCAGGGCAGGAGCGAGGCCTTGGGATCGTGGGAACAACTGGGGTCGAGCCCAGGGTGCTATAGGACACGGTGCCCCTCCCCCCGTGTCCTCCCCTAAGCGTGAAGGAGGGACGGGGGTGGGGGGGGGTTGGTGGTGCATGCTGAGGTCTTTAATGGGGCTGGGGCTGCCCTCCTTGAGTCCGCACTCACATCAAAGTCCACCCTCTCTCCATCAGGGATCTTGGGTGGCACCAAGTTGGGCATGAAGGGCCTGGTGGGCAGAAGGAGGGGTGAGCACCAAGCCCTCCGTGCACAGAGGGGATGTGATACGGGGGTGGGCAGGTCCCTCTCCTCCCTGCAGAAAGGCCGAGACCCAGCCACCCACACAATGACACCAGCATGGTGCCCACCCGGGGTCCCCATGCCCTCTCAGGACTGGGGCACCTACAGTGTCCTCATGTATCCTCACAGTTACCTGGAGTGGAAACCACTCATCCCATTCAGGAAGACAGAGGCTCAGAGACATAAGGCTTTGCTCAAAACCATGCAGCCAGGAAGCAGAGAGGCTTGGCTCTGCACCCTAGCTGACCCACACTCCTGGCCGACTCCAGGAGCCTGGGAGGTAGTGGTCGGCCTCACACACCTCACCCACTTGCTGTGGGACTCCAGGATGGGACACTGAGCCCTGCTTTCCTGTCTGCCCTTGAGTGTGGGGATCTGAACCAAGACACCGCAGTGTTTGCTCCAATGAGGGGATGGGAAGGGGCTTGGATTGCCAGGCTGGGCTGCTTTTGGAGCGTCTCCTGGACTGTGTGCTGAGGCACCATCAGATCGCAGGGCTGGCATTTCCGAAACCCTGCCCCTCTGCACCCAGAACTCCCACGTCTGTCTTGTGTGGCCCTTCGTGACCCTCTGAAGCCACATGCCTAGACTGACACACTTTCACTGCTTGGATTCTCCAAATTTTCTTCCCTCAGGTCCTCCTCCAGCCACCGAGGACAGTGTCCCAGCTCTCCTGAGGGGTCGGACAGGGTGTCTGCCCAGGTCCATGGCTAGTCTATCCTTTCCCTCTAGATGGACATAGTGCTGACTGTAGCAGGGCAAGGCATTGGTGATGGAGTGTGGGTGGTTTTCAGTCATGCCATCCCGCTACCCCCACACACCCAGCAGAGACTCTTATGCAGTACACAACCTATACATCTGTACATGGTGGTCTGTGCCTGCCGCACCCCAGCCTGTGCCCGCTGTGTCATGTGCACTTCAGTCCTGTCCCGAGGGTTCTCTCTCATGGGCCTTCTGCTCCCAGGGCTTCACCACTCACCTGGGCTTGGGCTTGGACTCCTCCACCGGGCCATCTGGAGAGGAGGAAAGCACATGAACTTGGGGTTGGGAGGCTTGGATCTGGCCCCACTGTGCCCCTGATAAACTGGCACCCATGAGACTCCATTTGCCCATCACCAGTGATTCCCTCCTGTCCCGGGGTTGCAGGAGCAGCCAGAGAACTAAGCTGTAGAGCTGCAAACCCCAGGCTCCACTCAGGGCTGATGCTCAGGAGGTCTCAGGGACGCAAGTGCACACAGGGCTCTCACTCAGCAGTGCCTGCCACACAGGGAGGAGGGGTCGGGGACACGGTCCTGTGGTCCTGGCCCCAGAGTCCATGCCTAAGTCTTTGCCTCCGCAGTCACCCCCCAGACCTGAGGCAGCTCAGGACTAGGAAGCTGATGGGTGTGACTCCAAGCCCCATCGGCTGTCCCCCTCTGGAGGTGTGACTCAGACCACCTAGGCCCCTGTGAAGGTCAACAGTGCCCACAGCAGTGACCCACCCCATGGACCATCCGCACCTGGGATCTCAGCCCCAGATACCCCATCCTCCCGTGGTTCACCCAAGCTACAGAAACCTCATGGACAGACATGATGTGACCACTGTCCTGACCCAACCTGGCCCTCTCCCCCTGGGCACCCCCAAGGCACTATCTCTGGAAGGAGGAGCCCAACCTGCAGACACACACGGGTCTGTGCCTGCCCTCCCAGGGTCTCCCTCTCCTCCCCAGGGTGTCTCCCCCTCCTCCCCCCAGGGTATCTTCCCCTCCTCCCCAGGGTCTCCCCCTCACCCAGGGTCTCCCCCGCCCCCCAGGGTCACTGCCGCCCCCCAGGGTCTCCCTCTCCTCCCCAGGGTCTCCCCCTCCTCCCCTCAGGGTATCTCCTCCTCCTCCCCAGGGTCTCCCCCCCACCAGGTCTCCCCCACCCCCCAGGATCTCCCCCATAGCTGCAGGAGGGGCTTCCCTGCCGTGTCCCAATGGCCAGCGGGCCTCACCTTCAGCCTCTCTACCTTCCTCTTCTTCTCCATCTTCTGAACAGAACATGAGAAAGGGGTCACGGTCCCGGTTCTGAGCTCAAGGCCCTGCCAGTAGCCCCCTGCTCCCCCCACATGTCCTCAGCCAAGGGGGCCCTGCAGGGCTCTGGGTCCAGGATCCGCCTGTGCACACTTGCCGGGGCCAGGCCCACCTGGCCGAAGGGAGCAGGTGTAGCGTGTACTGACGAGGCGGAGCCCGGCCTGGATGGGGGGCTGCCCAGGCTGCAGAGCGGGGTCCAGGGTCCTTCCCGCTGCCGCAGGAATGGCGCTGTGGCCCTTGCCGCCCCAAGCTCAGGCAGCCCCTTCCCCCCTCGCTCCAGGAGGGGCCTCACCTGCGGCGCTGGGCTCTCCAGCCTCAGCCTCGCCTCCAGCCTCCTCTTCCACCACCTCCTCGTGCTCTGGAGAGGTGAACCAGACAGTGAGCAGGCCTGGCACAGGGAGGGGTAGGGCCCAGTGACATCCGAGGTCCCAGTGAATCTGGGGGGACCTGTGTGGCTGACAGGGGCCACTCTGTTCTTGGTTTAAACCAGAAACCACAAACTGGGGCCCAACGGCCCTCAGACCGTTTCTAAACAGAGTGTTCCTGGAGCGGCGGCTTCAGCAGGACCAGGGGCCACAAAGCCTGGAACGCTCCGTGTCTGCTCCTTCAGGGGAAGTCTGCGCAGGGTTCCCCTGTTTGAAACTTGCCTCTCTGGGGCTAGAGCCCCCTCTGCACCTGGAGGCGCCACTGAGGTGGGGCCGCCTCTAGGCCCTGTGTCCGACTCAGCCTGCCTCCCCAGCTCGTTCTCTGACATCACGGCACAGGATCAGGGTCCTGTCCTAGACTCAGGCCCTGGAGTCCCTTCCTCAGTGTCTGGGACTAGAAAGGACCTGTGTGGGTGACGGGCCGCCCAGCATGCGAGAGGGCCGGGGGTGGGTGGTTTCTATTTTCATCACTTGCTGGCAGGGTGTGGCCCCCAGCCTGGTCAGGAGGTGGAGCAGACAGGTGGCATGGCCCCGGCACAGGACTCTGCCCACAGAATGCCAGGTCTTCTGGGGGGGCTTTGATCAGCTGGGAGCAGGGGGTGGGGACAGGCAAGATGGTTCCTGGGTGACCCCTGACCCCCGTACCTTCCGTGGCTGCTTCTGCTCCAGGGAGGAGGCGTGAGCGCAAGAGAGGAGAAAAGAGACAGTCAGTTTCCATCCAGGCCATCCTTCCGCCCAGTGAGAGTCGGGGTGTGCTTACCTTCCTGCTCCCTGCGGCATGAGAGGAGACGCTGTCAGGAACACAGCACGCACATGTACACACACGCGCACACACCCCATGGCCTTTTCCCAGAGACGTTTACCTCCGTGCTGGGTCCTGGAGTCCGCCCACCCACAGCCCAGCCCGGCCCGGCTCCATTCAGCTGCCTCCCCCCGCCAGGAAACCTGGCTAGTGCTGGTCCCTGGGCTCTGCACGACCCCCTCCCCATCCACCTGGCCCAAGTCCACAGGCACAAGTCCTCCACCCATCCCCCAGTTCTGCACCCTCAGTGCCCAGGAAGGGGTCTTCAGGGTCCAAGCTATGCCTGCGGTCCTCTCTGCCCCCGGGCACTGCCTCCCCCAGGGACGACTGACTGATGGGTTGCAGCGTGCCCCCCTCCCTGGCCCCCAGGACAGGGCAGAGGGCAGGACTGGCAGTCCCCAGGGCTGTGAGGCCAGGTCTGGGGCGGGTTTCTGGGCACAGTGGCTCTGTGGCCTCTGGGTCCTCACGGAAACTCTCTGGTCTTTTCTCAGGAGGCCCAGCCCCCAGCCCCTGGCCCAGCCCATCCCCCAGCTGGAAGCAAGGGTGCAGCTCTCCCCACACCCCTGACAGGCGCAGCCCCTGCCCAGCACCCCAGGACTCACTCATACTCATCCACCGTCTCTTCCACGTCCGACATGGCCTCCTCTTCCCTCTGCAGAGAGAAAGACAGTCCAGGTGGGCAGAGGGCCAGCCACCCGGCTCTGTGGGAAGCGCCGGGCCTGCCATCCCCCAGCCCTGGACCAGCTGCCCCGGGCCCACGCCCCTGTCAGGCAGAGACTCCGTCCCAGCAGGGCCAGGCTACAGGCTCCACACCCCTCGGCCGACTGCTGGACAGCGGCTCCGAGTCTCTGGCCCACCCAGGCCTCTCCCCTGGGAGCGGCTTGGTGACAGGGAGGAAGCTTCAGGATCAGCCGACACCCGGGGCCAAACTCAGGGCCCACGGTCACAGGGAGGAGACACTGCGTGCAGTTCCGTCTGTAAAGCTCTCAGCACCACCACGGGGCAGACACGGAGGACGGAGTGGGGCCATGGGGCCTGTGGAGGCCATAGGGACACGCGGGGGACACGCGGGGGACACGTGGGGGACACGTGGGGGACACACGGCTGTGGAGCCGCCCAAGGCTGCCGTGCTGGTAGCTCCACAGACACACGGGTAAACGGGCGGGGCTCACCCTCACACACAGTCACACACACACAGCACACCCCAGACACGCACCACACATGGGGGGTGCGAGCTGAGCGGGGAATCCAAGCAGGACCACAGAAGAGGGAATGCCCATGTCCCAGCCTGTGTGGCGGCTCCCTGGGGACCCTGGGAGGGTGTGGGGTCTGTTCATCTCTCACAGCCGCCGTCTCTACGAAAAGCCCGGCTCTGTGGAGCTTCTCCAGGGTGTCCCCCAAACTGCACTGGGGACAGAAGCCAGGACCCAAGCTCCCCACTCAAGGCCTGTGGGGAGGCAGCCCCGGGCCCACACGGGGAAGCGCCTTGCTGTCCCGTCACTGTGAGCACAGGGAGAGGCCAGAGGGGTGGCTGGGAGGCGGGCCTGGCTCGGAACGTGAACCCCACGCCCAGTGTGTGTGACCGTGGGAAAGCCGTTGGCCCCCTGTGCCTCAGTTTCCTCTTCTCCACGGGGAGGAAGGCTGGGGTGAAGGGAGGCTGCACCCAGCACTGAGGCCACCAACCTGTGACGCAGGCCACAGTGACGATGCCCCGGACGGGGTGCTGATGCCCCCTCACCTGTCCCCCATATCCCGCCCTCACAGCTGAGACCCAGCCAGGCAGCTGTCTGCAGACGTGCTGCAAGCCCCAGCTCTGGCAGGCGGCATGGTGCCCACCGCAAGGCAGCCCCTTTGAGGCTAAGAGGTGCTGAAGGAGCCCGGCCCTAGCCCCCATGGGGGCCACCACCTCGGGCGGCAGCCTCAGGCTGGCAACTCTTCTGAGCCTGCTCCCAGTCATCCAGCCCTGCTGGGTCAGGGCAAGCGGACCTACAGCAGGGCAGGCAGGGTGGGGCTGGCAACGGGGCACTTTGGACTGAAGCTGGCTCCCCTGGGTGGGGGTACTCATCCCAGAGAGTCTCCAAATGGGGCCTGGGGGAAGAGTGGCAGGGGGACAGCCCCCAGCCCAGGGTGGGTGAGGACTGGCAGGTCAGCACTGCTCGGAGCCCCAGGAGCAGTCAGGCCAGGGGCCTGAGCCCCGGGAGGAGTCTGTCACCCTGGGGTGCAGAGGCCTCCTGGGAGCGGATTGGCCAGCCTGGGATGCGGCTCTCACACCCTCTCCTCTGCGGCCCACTCCCTGCTGGCTCCAAGTCCCGGCATGGCCCTGCGAGAACCCCTGCTCCTGCAAGCACAGCTCCTAAAAATAGAGCCACTCGAGAGGCAGGTTGCGGTGGGAGAGGGCTGCCAGGCCAGAGGAGGCGTCCGAGATTGTGTCCAGGCGCTGGTGGCAGGAAGGCGGGGGGGCCAGGGGGGCCTTCAGTTGGGAGAGGGGCTGGAAGGCCCACACCGAGCCCCCACCCACCCTTTCTAGCAGGTCGCCATTACAGCCAAAAGGCCATGATCACCTTTCTTGGGGAATAAAGCAGAAACCTTAGAAGGCAGAAAGAAATCTGGCCGTGCTGTCAAAGACCCAGATTTAACACCCAGCTTTGCTGTGTGACCTTAGCTGAGTCACTTAACCTCTCTGGGCCTCCGTTAACCTATCCATGAAACAGAAGAGCGGAGGCCCCACCCTCAGCCCTGTGCCTGGCAGGCAGCTGGACTCGCCCTGACCGCAGCTGTTGGCCCACCCGCAGAGCTGGACCAGGGCAACGCGATCCTCCCAGATTCCTCTCCTGCACAAAGACCCAGGTCAGAGGAGGAATTCGGGACGTCAGGCCTCCCAGCTGCACCCTGACAAAAATGAGCCTCAAATGCCCATCTCCAGGAGCCGGCCCCCCATGTCCCTTCAGGAGGGAGCAGTTCTCCCCCCAGAGCTCCAGCAGGCACTCTCCCCAGGGGGCATGGGGTGTGCGAGGGGCCTTAGGCTGGGGGCACTGGACTTAGGATTAACACCCTGACCCAGGGAGCCAGCCCCGCCCACCCCCCCACCAGGAAGCAGGTCTCTCCATGCCGCTCAGCCCGTACCCTGTCCAGGATGGGGCCCAGCCCTGCGTCTGCCTGGAAGGGCCTCTGGGGTCCCTGGTCCCCTGGTCCTCTGGTGGGCAGCCTTTCTCAGCAGTTCTGACAGCTTCTGAACCCCAGTGAGGAGAATGTGGCCACAAGGACTGTTCTGACTGGTGTGGGCACACACGGCCCGGCTCTGCTCCCCGGGGAGGGGAGAGGACCTGCCCAGGATGGGGCAGGGGCTTCCCACCTGGAGGGAGGAGGCGCTGGGAGGGGGGTCCCCGAGGGTGAGAGCATCATTTCATTTAGAGGCCTGGCAATTATCTCTCCATCCCACAAATGAGGCAAGAGACCCAGGGAAGGACAGCTATTCACCCAAGATCTTCCACCCACCCCAGGTCTTCAGTGGGAGGTCTGTGACTCAGACCCGAGTCTCCAGCCTCCAGCTATGGGTCAGTTAAACTAGGCTCAGGGATTCATCTCCGAGGCCCAGCCCTCTAAAGCTTCCCAGGGAAGGGGGCCTCTCCCAGCTCCGACACCCAGTCAGAGTGGACACTGCCACTTGGAACAGAGGGCCCAGACGACAGGACACCCCTCTGCTCTTAGAGTCTGCCCCAGTCTTACCCAGAACAGGAGCTGCCAACGGGTCTTGTGGTGTCTGCTTCGCCTCGCGGGGTCTGGGCAAGGGCAGGAGCTGGACAGGCTTTAAGCAGGCCCGCGGCCCGGCGGTGAGAGGAATGTGCGCGGGAGTCACGCCGGGGGTGGCGGGGGCAGGGGGAGAGGGGGTGTTGGCTGCTATTTTGGCAGGTGCCAGGGACAGGGCTAAGGGAACATATATCCCAGGCCATATAAGCCCATGTGGTCGTCCAGCTGCTCAGATAAGCTATTTAAAACCAGGACAGACAGGCAGGGGACAGGAGGGAGCAGGCACATAACACAAGCCAGCTGTCTGTCCTGAGAACCCCGATAAAGTGGATGCCAGCAGTCGGGAAGGCAGGCTGGGGGCAGGGCGGGGTCAGAAGCTCAGCTGTGGTGATGTGTGGACAAGGATGCTTCCAGGCTACTGGCTCCTCTAGCGGGTGAACACCCTTGGTGGGGGAGGCAGGCTCTGGTGGTCTCGGTGAGCACACCTACAGAGCAGTCTGCTTGCCCCCCAAGCCACGTGGCAAACCCTCCCCACTGGGCAGGGAGTAGACCCACTGCAGGGGATCAGATTCAAGGTCGAACTTCCAGCCAAGAGTGAGGGTTCTCTTCAAAGAGGCAGCTGGTTGAATAAAGGGTCAGGGAAGATGGTTGAAGTTCACGCCATGATGGCTTTAAAATTACGATCTGCTAAACCCACTATATTACAAGGTCCACGCAGCCAGCACCCAGGGGCCTAGCATTTGCTTGCATGCCTGTGTCTGCAGCCTCCAGCACAGCACCTGGGTCATGGAAGGGCTCATGACAAAACAAAAGAAGAGGAAGCAAACCTGAGGGAGGCCTGCTTTCTGAATTTTCAGGGCCACCGTCCTGCCTGACTCCCCCTGGGCCCTGAGCCCTGGCCCTGCCAAGGGCCACCTGTGGGTGATGCACACTCCTCTCCATGGGCAAGGACAGCCTCTCCCCACTTCCCCCCTCGCCTGACCCACATCCCACCCCCCCCAAACTTTGCTGCCTGGGAAGCCCCAGGCCCCATCAGTCACGCGCTCCTCACCCGCTCTGCTATCGACCTGGCCCCGTCTCAGCTGAGGCTGTCCTTCCATGATCCCTGGGGGCCTCTGAGCCCAGTGGCCTGAGTCGCCTCCTCCAGGCTCAGTGGCCCTTCCCACGCCAGCAGATCCAGGGCGGGACCGGCTGAAGCCACACACCAGCAGCCAGCACCGGGGGACAGTGAGCGGCCAGGCCTCCATCTGCTCTCCTGGTCTGGCCCCCAGGGGCACAGCCAGGCTTTGTGTCCTGGCCCGAAATCTCCTGCAATTTAGGAACTGCTTTTCCTACAGCTTCCCTTAACTCGAACTACTTCAGTGGGCACCTTGTAAGCTCAAAAGTCCTTCAAACAGGACAGAATTTGCTTGCGTGGATGCCTGGGAGAGGGCTCTGGCACCCGAGGCCCCACAGGAAAAGCCTGGCAGGTTCCTGGCACCTGTGGCCTGACTGTGTGCGGCCTCCAGGGACCGTGCTAAGGCAGGATGGACTCAGAGCGCAGGCGGCCGTCACTGCAGCTGCCACAGCTGGCCTGCCTTGGACGTCCTGCCCTTGCAGGCGAGGTGAAGTCACCTCCCCGAGCTTACAGCAGAGGAGGGACGAGAATGCAGAGACGGTGTCCTCAGCCCTGAGGGCCTGTGCTGCCCCCGCAGGAAGCCGGACAGCCTCTCCACGGCCCCTGTCAAGAGGTGTCCAGGCTGCGTGCTGTCCTCACATGTTACCCTGAGGTCGCCCTGGGCGTGCGTCCCCCCGAGAAGGGTGAGTGCAGGGCCTTCGTGTGTGTGATGAGTGAGTGCAAAGGGGTGGGCGGCATGGTGCTGCCTTCCGCACCCTGCCCAGGCAGCCCCGATGGGCACCAAGGGCTCCCCCGGGGGCAGCAGCGCCAGATGCCCAGACCCCAGGGCCAGGTGGGCCAAGACCCCTCGGGTCCCTCTCAGACCCCCATGCTGGAGGCAGGGCTCTGCTGTGCTGGGCAAACCCCCCCGCCACAACCTTCCCCAGTGGAGCAGGCGGGCGCTCAGCACCTCTCTGTCGCTTGCTGACCGAACTCCTGGTGGGGCAGCCCAGAGCGGGGCCTGCCTCTCTGGGGGCGCCCAGCCCAGCCCTCCTGGCTCCGTCCAGCAGCTCCGGGGTTGCACATGTGGTGGTGGGTGGGGGTGACCGGCCAGGGCCTCCGGGTCCCGCTGCCCCCAGCTCCAGGCGGGCATGGGGCCAGCCATGTGAGACCCCCTGCTGGAGGCAGGCCAGTCTGGGCTCACAGGCGGGGCCCCAAGGCCCTTCCATCCCTGGCCCCAGGACACGGGACTGGAGCCTCCCTCAGGACCAGGCCCACAGGGGGGCTGGGGCAAAGCGGGTGTGGGGTGTCACTGACTCCAGAGAAACCCAAGCAGGCACCTGAGAGCAGGGTTCTAACGTAAGTCTCGTGATGGGAAAACGTGTGGACCACACACACACTTACGCACACACACACGTACAACCCACACATACACACACCCTCAGCCACACACAGCACGCAGGCTGGCTCCGGCTGCTTTGGTCTAGACAGCTTAGCATCCCCCTGGCCGACTGAGGGCAGGGGAGCGGAGAGCCAGGTTTGGGAGCAGGTGTGCAGGGCTGTGGCCGCAGAGGCTGCCTGTCCCCCTTGGGCCCCTGCAGCCAAAACATTCTCCTCCAGCCACTTAGCCTCCACTGAAAAGCAAAGCCTCCAGAAGGAATGATTTTTAAGGTATTATTGGTCACACCTGAGAGTGAATGAGTTTATCATCTCTTTCCTGAGAGTGGGGAGAGGGCACAGGACGGCTTGGCTAGAGCAGCAGGTGGGGCATGAAGGGGAGTGAGGCAGGGCCCGGGAGGGGTCGGCACAGCGTCTGGCAGGCGGCGCAGGGACGGTGGGGGCCAGCCGGGGAGAGGTGCACAGAGACACTGGTGTGACCCGACAGCCCCAGAGGAAGAGGAAGAACAGGCGTCCATGTAGACAGGGTGGCAAGGCTGTGTGCAGACGCGCAGTGCCCGCAGCCAGCCAAGGCACGGGGCACGCCTGCCTGCTCCAGAGGGGTGGGGAGGATGCTGGCCAGTGTCCTCCTGGATCCAGGGCGGGAAGCGGGCAGGAGAGGTGACCGCCATGGCTGCTGGCCTGAGAATGGCTCCTCACACCTGTGGGACCGAGGGTGGTTAGGATGAGGGGTTTCCCAGGGGGGTGCAGTGATGCCCCCTTTTCCCCAGGCCCCCCGCGCTGGGCAGAGCCCAGGCTTGCAGTGGAGGAGTAGGCGCCTGCCAGCCCAAATTCTCCAGAAACAGCCACCCCAGCCCCTGGGCCCACGCTCACCTCGGCACCCAGCGTGGGCTCTGGCTTCTTCCTCCACTGGGGCCTCCTGCCGGCTGCCGACTCCCTCTGCATCTCCTGGTTCTGGGCGTTGGGACAGAGATCAGGCTCAGGCTACCACAGAGCCCCCGGGCTCACCCCGTCCTCTCCGCGCTCTGACCCGCAGGCTTCCCCATGCCGTCCCGCGTGCAGAGCATCTCCACTGTGCTCAGGGCTGTCCCTCCCCTGACCGGTCATCCCGCTATGCGAGGCCTGCAGGGAGACCGGGGTGGGGGTGGGGGGGGCAGAGGGGCATGGTACCTGAGGGCCCTGCTGTGCTGACTCCTGGGTCCTGCTGATCCACAGGTTGAGCCGCGACGTCACCACCCCCGAGAGCTGCAAGTTCTCCTGAGAAGAGAGCTTCCACCTTGGGGCCGGGCTGGCATCTCCAGAGGGCCCCCCTCACCACATCCGCACAGCTCAGGCCACGGGACCCTCCCCTGGAGCTGTGTGTACAGCTGGGCTGGGGGCTCAGCGACAGGCATGGCCGGGCCCTCGAGTCCACCAGACGGATGCAGGAAAGCACGGAGCTGTCCTGCAGTGCCCAGGCTCCAGCTCTGCAGGCACCTGGCGGGCCAGAGCCACTTACCTTGCGGCTGGAGGCTGGGCCTTCTCGGCTCTGGCCCACCAGCTCTTTCTCAAAGAGGTGGCGCTTGCTGGCGACATCCACAGGAGCCATGAGGAACTCAGTGCGGGATGGGCTTGCACACTTGACGGACTCTGATCTCTGGGAGCAGAGAGCACGGGCCGCTGACCCTGGAGGGTGAGGCCCCCGGCACTCCCAGCACACTCCAGGGACTGGCTCGCTCACCTGTATGGCCGAGTGGTATCGCTCCAGCTTTGGGCCTAATTTGACCGAGCTGACCGGGAGCCTCATGCTGGCGCTGCAGGGCAGGAAGACAGGGCAAGACAACGCAGATGAGGCTCTGCCTGCCCACGGGACACCGGGCCTGCCCGTGAGCCCCACCTCACTCTGGCAAAGAGAATACGGCCTCCATATACAGACTGAGGGGTCTCCCTCTCCTCCTGAGACATGGTCCATTCGGCAGGACCCCCAGGCCAGAAACAGCTGCTGTCCCTGCCCAACGGAGTCAGTCCTGCCTCAGACGCTGCTCCCCTCTCTCCACCTTCCACCCCACCCCCCGGTCCCCAGGGCCCCCCATCCCAGATCAACCCCATCCTGCTCTCAGGCACAAGCAGCATGAAAGGCTCACGACCAGGCTCTGATGCCCTCCTGACCCTGGCACCCCCACCTTGCTCCCCATGCTGCCAGGCCAGCTGGCTGGCCTCCACATGGGCTCTGATCCAAGCCCCTCCGCTCGCCGACCCTCCATCCAGAGCTGCCTGCAGAGCTCTCCCCACCTCACGCCCCCTGATGCCCGCTGCCCCGTGCCCTCACCCCGCTCTCTCACAGAGCTCTCCCCATCTCACGCCCCCTGATGCCCGCTGCCCCGTGCCCTCGCCCTGCTCTCTGAGAGCTCTCCCCATCTCACACCCCCTGATGCCCACCGCCCCGTGCCCTCGCCCCACTCTCTGAGAGCTCTCCCCATCTCACACCTCCTGATGCCCGCTGCCCCGTGCCCTTGCCCTGCTCTCTCACAGAGCTCTCCCCACCTCATGCCCCCTGATGCCCACCGCCCCGTGCCCTCGCCCCACTCTCTGAGAGCTCTCCCCACCTCACACCTCCTGATGCCCACCGCCCCGTGCCCTCGCCCCGCTCTCCCACAGAGCTCTCCCCACCTCACGCCCCCTGATGCCCACCACCCCGTGCCCTCACCCTGCTCTCTCACAGAGCTCTCCCCACCTCATGCCCCCTGATGCCCACCGCCCCGTGCCCTCGCCCCACTCTCTGAGAGCTCTCCCCATCTCACCCCTCCTGATGCCCGCTGCCCCGTGCCCTCGCCCCACTCTCTCACAGAGCTCTCCCCACCTCACGCCCCCTGATGCCCGCTGCCCCGTGCCCTTGCCCCACTGAGAGCTCTCCCCATCTCACCCCTCCTGATGCCCGCTGCCCCGTGCCCTCGCCCCACTCTCTGAGAGCTCTCCCCATCTCACCCCCTGATGCCTGCTGCCCCGTGCCCTCGCCCCACTCTCTGAGAGCTCTCCCCACCTCACGCCCCCTGATGCCCGCTGCCCCGTGCCCTCGCCCCGCTCTCTGAGAGCTCTCCCCACCTCACGCCCCCTGATGCCCGCTGCCCCGTGCCCTCGCCCCACTCTCTGAGAGCTCTCCCCACCTCACCCCTCCTGATGCCCGCTGCCCCGTGCCCTCGCCCCGCTCTCTGAGAGCTCTCCCCATCTCACCCCTCCTGATGCCCACCGCCCCGTGCCCTCGCCCCGCTCTCTCACAGAGCTCTCCCCACCTCACACCTCCTGATGCCCACCGCCCCGTGCCCTCGCCCCGCTCTCTCACAGAGCTCTCCCCACCTCACACCTCCTGATGCCCACCGCCCCGTGCCCTCGCCCCGCTCTCTCACAGAGCTCTCCCCACCTCACGCCCCCTGATGCCCACCACCCTGTAGCCTCACCCCACTTTCACAGGCTGAGCTCCCCTGGCCACAAGGGGCTCCGGCCCTCGGTTCCCATTCTGAACCCCCAGCACCTCCGTGCCCTGTGGCTCCTGCACGTCTCATCTGATTCAAGGGCAGCGACTCCCTCATCCACTGTGTGGCCCGCGCCCCCCCGCCTCGCCCAGCACCACTGGCCTCAGAGACAGTCTGGGGCAGACAGTGCGGCCTGCGTGCATGAATCCCCAGTGCTTGACTCAAACGACCCTGGCGCACCCACTCCCCCCAGGGCACCCCCGTGGCTCAGGACGGCCCCTCCCGCCCGCCCCCTCCAGGCAGCCGGACCCTCCCGCTGCTGCACCTCGGGCTTCAGCCCCACGTCAGACAAGCCCCGGGGCCCCCAGGCCCTGACCTGCGGGTTAAGGCCACCTCTGAGCTGTCTCTCCGGGGGCTCATCTGGAAGGAGAAGGAAGGTGCCAGTGAGCGGGGTCCATGGCAGCCACGGCCTCCGCAAGGGAGGACTCAGCTCTCGGAACGCAGCCCGCCCTGGGGTCTGCCCCCACTCTATACAGACCCCAGCCACACCCCATGAAAGGCCCGCCTCTGGCCTGGGGCACAGCCCCTCCCATCAAGCCAGGTCAGCAGCCCCCCCTTGAGGCCCCCAGATCTTTTTGGGGTGCCTCCTGCCTGCCTCCCCACTGCCCCAAGCCCTGTAGGGAGGGGCCCTCAGCAACCAGGCTCACCCGGAAGGAGATGGTGCGGGGGCTGGAGCGCTGCAGGGCGCTGCTGAAGGTGGGCGAGGCCCGTGTCGGTGATGGGGCCTCGGCCTCCGTGCAGGGGGTCCTCACCTGGACGGAGCAGGGGGCAAGTCATGCAGGAGGACGGGCAGCCTGGAGCCCCCGTGGGCCCGGCTCACCCCAGCAGCCGCAAGGCAGGGGCAGCAGGCTGGTCCTCTGCTCCCGCCTGCTGCCTGGGCTGTGGAGGTGCGGCCACAGGCCCAGGGCCAGGCCAGGGAACAGGGCTTCTGGGGGCAGGGGGCTCCTAGAAGCATCTGAGGCTTCCCTGGAGTCTGGGCCTGGGATGAGAGTGTTGTGTGGGTGCCAGGTGAGACCCCAGCCCAGTCCCCTGTCCTGCGGGCGGCAGAGCAGGCGGGGAGAGGAGACACAGCTGGGGCTGGCCTGGAGGGAGGAGGACAGGAGACAGGGAGGCAGCCAGAGACACTGGGAGGACAGCAGACAGGAGGACAGGAGACGGGGAGGCAGCCAGAGATGCCGGGAGGACGGGGAGGCAGCCAGAGATGCCGGGAGGACGGGGAGGCGGGGGACACCGCACACCTGCAGAGTGACGGGCGGGAGGCCACACGCCTGGGGCAGAGGCCCCGCTGAGGACTCGGGATCCTTCTCAGGCCCAGCGTCCCGCTGGCCCCCAGGGCTGGATGGGCGCCCCACTGAGGCTGGGTGCTCCCGGGCCTGGGGTCGCGCTGGGGCCACAGCCCTGCCTGGGGCCAGCTGTGTCTCGGGGGCCGGCGTCTTCTTGAAGACAGTGGCTTTCTCAGACACCAGTCTCTGCTCCGAGATGCTGGCTTTGTCTGGAACCACCCTCTTTCCTGAGACAGCTCTCTCCTCCAGCACAGCGATCTTCTGGGACACGGAGCATTTAACGGGGCTAGGGGTCTCAGGATCCAGGCTCGCTTCCAGCTCAAGTGTCTTCCCCTCAGCAGACAGCTTCTCAGAGCCCACAGGCACCCTGCCCGCCAGGCTCCCCTCCTCCGTGGAGCTGCACTCCGGGCTCAGTCTCCGGCCGGGCGGCAACTGCACCTGCTCCTCAGGCACCGGGGGCGGCTGCCTGGCCTCCTCCTGGGCCTCCCGGCGCCTCTGCCTCCGCTCCTGCCGCGTCCTCAGGACAGCCTGGATGTCCTCCTCATCTCTGGGGTCTGGGGCCAGTGGCTGGGGCCCCTCTGCTTCCTCCACGCTCAGCAGCCTGAGTCGGAAGGGAGATGGCGGGAGATGGTCAGTGGCAGGAGAGACCCTGGGAGCACCCGACCCAGGGGGACGCCTCAGGGCACCTGATGCCCTCCCAACCCCTCAAGCCACTGTCCCTTAAATTAGGATTGCTTTCATCTGCTTTACCCATCAGGCTTCCAAGTTATCATCTGAACAAAGCACAAGAGGCTTTAAAAAAAATTATAAACGCCTGTAAGGTGCAACCACTCCATGTTCAACAAACACCTCTCCTGTGTCAGGCCCTGCTGCTTACAGATGAGGAGCAGAGATGGGCAGGGAGCTGGCCTGAGTCACACGGGGATGGGCAGGGAGCTGGGAGTGGAGCCCAGGCCTCCACAGCCACATGGGTGCAGCACAGGCCGCACAGCCCGTGGCCCCCTCTCGAGGAGACGGGGAGGCACACACGAGGCTGCCCCAAACCCAGCCGGCAGCAGAGGGGCCCCTCCTGTGCCTCCACCCGCCCGCCCGTGGCTTGGGTGAGTTCACTCGCTCACTGAGCCCGCTGCCAGATTTGCGAACTGGGCTCGTTCAGAGGCGAGAGGAGATGCGTCCCCTGAGTGGGCCCTGTCCCCACGGATAGGTGTGTCGGGGCACTCAGCCTCGGGGCTGGTGGTCAGACCAGCGGGGCCTCCTTCCCGTCAGAAACCACGGGGGTCCACTAGCGGGAAGGGGCCGGGCTGAAGGGGCATGGTCTGCCCAGGGCCTGACAAGCCCCAGGCCCTGCCCCCGGTGCACGAGCCGCACTCTCTCTGACCGCTGCCCACACGTGAGGTGGGTTAGCACCCTCTCAGGAGCATGGAAGGATGAGCTACGTTTATAAAATGCCCAGCAAGAGTGGCCCAGCTCACCCACACTGGTCCTGACTGCTGTCCTGACCAGGGTGGGGCCCGCAGAAGGTCAGCCCGCTCCCCGGGCAGGGATGGCTGGTCTATCCTCACTGGGATCCCACCTCCCACCCGCACCTCTCGGGGGCCGGTGGGTCCTCGTCCCGGGCGGGCAGGTCCTCGTCATCTGCGGCGAAGCTCAGGTTCCGGTGTCGCCGCCGGCGTTCTCGCTCCTGTTCCTCCTCGTCCTCCAGGGTCCACTGCTGGGTCAGGCTGAGGGGTAAAGGGGTCAGCGAGGCCTCAGGGTGATGCCCAGAGTGTCCCCGTGGCTGACATCGGGGGGAGGGGGTGGCGGGCCAGACGTCACCCTGAACCCCCACTGGAACTGGGGGTCTATTTGCCTGGGCCCCTGCACCCCCACTGGAATAGGGGTCCACCCGCCTGGGCACCCCCGCACCCCCACTGGAATGGGGGTCCACCCGCCTGGGCGCCCAGGGACATGGCAGGGCGGGCGTCCTTGGCCCGAAGGAGGCAGGTGAACCTGGCAGAGCCCGGCTTTGATCTGAGGCTCTTAGCTGAACAGTTACTGAGAAACATTCCACCTCCCCAGCTCCCCTGGGACATCCCAGCCCCCTAGACAGAGATCCCAGATGAACTAGCCATCCCTAAAGGGGAACCCAGTATCACTTCCCTTACCACCTAGGTGCTCCGTCAGCCTCCTTCACCTCCGAAAACCAGCCTCCCCGTGTGCAGCAGCAAGGGGCACAGCCTGCCTCTGGCCCTTGGTCATTCTCCCAGCCTTAGTCACTCACAGTCACTCACAGTCACTCTCCCAGCCATAGTCACTCACAGTCACTCACACCAGTCACTCTCCCAGCCATAGTCACTCACAGTCACTCATAGTCACTCTCCAAGCCATAGTCACTCACAGTCACTCGCACCAGTCACTCTCCCAGCCTTGGTCACTCACAGTCACTCATAGTCACTCTCCAAGCCATAGTCACTCACAGTCACTCTCCCAGCCTTAGTCACTCACAGTCACTCTCCCAGCCATAGTCACTCACAGTCACTCGCACCAGTCACTCTCCCAGCCTTAGTCACTCACAGTCACTCACACCAGTCACTCTCCCAGCCTTAGTCACTCACAGTCACTCATAGTCACTCTGCAAGCCATAGTCACTCTGCAAGCCATAGTCACTCACAGTCACTCACACCAGTCACTCTCCCAGCCTTAGTCACTCACAGTCACTCATAGTCACTCTCCCAGCCATAGTCACTCACAGTCACTCGCACCAGTCACTCTCCCAGCCTTGGTCACTCACAGTCACTCATAGTCACTCTCCAAGCCATAGTCACTCACACTCACACCAGTCACTCTCCCAGCCATAGTCACTCAGTCACTCGCACCAGTCACTCTCCCAGCCTTAGTCACTCACAGTCACTCATAGTCACTCTCCAAGCCATAGTCACTCACAGTCACTCTCCCAGCCTTAGTCACTCAGTCACTCGCACCAGTCACTCTCCCAGCCATAGTCACTCAGTCACTCACACCAGTCACTCTCCCAGCCTTAGTCACTCACAGTCACTCATAGTCACTCTCCCAGCCATAGTCACTCACAGTCACTCGCACCAGTCACTCTCCCAGCCTTGGTCACTCACAGTCACTCATAGTCACTCTCCCAGCCATAGTCACTCACAGTCACTCGCACCAGTCACTCTCCCAGCCTTAGTCACTCACAGTCACTCATAGTCACTCTCCAAGCCATAGTCACTCACAGTCACTCTCCCAGCCTTAGTCACTCACAGTCACTCTCCAAGCCATAGTCACTCACAGTCACTCGCACCAGTCACTCTCCCAGCCTTAGTCACTCACAGTCACTCACACCAGTCACTCTCCCAGCCTTAGTCACTCACAGTCACTCATAGTCACTCTCCTAGCCATAGTCACTCACAGTCACTCGCACCAGTCACTCTCCCAGCCTTGGTCACTCACAGTCACTCATAGTCACTCTCCCAGCCATAGTCACTCACAGTCACTCATAGTCACTCTCCCAGCCATAGTCACTCACAGTCACTCACACCAGTCACTCTCCCAGCCTTAGTCACTCACAGTCACTCTCCAAGCCATAGTCACTCACAGTCACTCACACCAGTCACTCTCCCAGCCTTAGTCACTCACAGTCACTCATAGTCACTCTCCCAGCCATAGTCACTCACAGTCACTCGCACCAGTCACTCTCCCAGCCTTAGTCACTCACAGTCACTCATAGTCACTCTCCCAGCCTTAGTCACTCACAGTCACTCATAGTCACTCTCCCAGCCATAGTCCCTCACAGTCACTCGCACCAGTCACTCTCCCAGCCTTAGTCACTCACAGTCACTCATAGTCACTCTCCCAGCCTTAGTCACTCACAGTCACTCATAGTCACTCTCCCAGCCATAGTCACTCACAGTCACTCGCACCAGTCACTCTCCCAGCCTTGGTCACTCACAGTCACTCATAGTCACTCTCCCAGCCATAGTCACTCACAGTCACTCGCACCAGTCACTCTCCCAGCCTTAGTCACTCACAGTCACTCATAGTCACTCTCCAAGCCATAGTCACTCACAGTCACTCGCACCAGTCACTCTCCCAGCCTTAGTCACTCACAGTCACTCTCCAAGCCATAGTCACTCACAGTCACTCACACCAGTCACTCTCCCAGCCTTAGTCACTCACAGTCACTCATAGTCACTCTCCTAGCCATAGTCACTCACAGTCACTCGCACCAGTCACTCTCCCAGCCTTGGTCACTCACAGTCACTCATAGTCACTCTCCCAGCCATAGTCACTCACAGTCACTCATAGTCACTCTCCCAGCCATAGTCACTCACAGTCACTCACACCAGTCACTCTCCCAGCCTTAGTCACTCACAGTCACTCTCCAAGCCATAGTCACTCACAGTCACTCACACCAGTCACTCTCCCAGCCTTAGTCACTCACAGTCACTCATAGTCACTCTCCCAGCCATAGTCACTCACAGTCACTCGCACCAGTCACTCTCCCAGCCTTAGTCACTCACAGTCACTCATAGTCACTCTCCCAGCCTTAGTCACTCACAGTCACTCATAGTCACTCTCCCAGCCATAGTCACTCACAGTCACTCGCACCAGTCACTCTCCCAGCCTTGGTCACTCACAGTCACTCATAGTCACTCTCCCAGCCATAGTCACTCACAGTCACTCGCACCAGTCACTCTCCCAGCCTTAGTCACTCACAGTCACTCATAGTCACTCTCCAAGCCATAGTCACTCACAGTCACTCGCACCAGTCACTCTCCCAGCCTTAGTCACTCACAGTCACTCTCCAAGCCATAGTCACTCACAGTCACTCACACCAGTCACTCTCCCAGCCTTAGTCACTCACAGTCACTCATAGTCACTCTCCTAGCCATAGTCACTCACAGTCACTCGCACCAGTCACTCTCCCAGCCTTGGTCACTCACAGTCACTCATAGTCACTCTCCCAGCCATAGTCACTCACAGTCACTCATAGTCACTCTCCCAGCCATAGTCACTCACAGTCACTCACACCAGTCACTCTCCCAGCCTTAGTCACTCACAGTCACTCTGCAAGCCATAGTCACTCACAGTCACTCACACCAGTCACTCTGCCAGCCATAGTCACTCACAGTCACTCTCCCAGCCATAGTCACTCACAGGCACTCGCACCAGTCACTCTCCCAGCCTTGGTCACTCACAGTCACTCATAGTCACTCTCCCAGCCATAGTCACTCACAGTCACTCACACCAGTCACTCTCCCAGCCTTAGTCACTCACAGTCACTCTCCAAGCCATAGTCACTCACAGTCACTCATAGTCACTCTCCCAGCCTTAGTCACTCACAGTCACTCATAGTCACTCTCCCAGCCATAGTCACTCACAGGCACTCTCACACCCATCACTGTCCCAGCCATAGTCACTCATAGTCACTCTCTGAGCCATAGTGACTCTCATACCGGACCCCCTCATAGCCACCCTCAGAAGCCCTCTTCCACCATCCCACCTGCAGCACCCTGCCCCAGCCTCCCACCAGTCATCCTCACCCACCTGCCCACGTACCTACCTCCCCCCAGCGCCCCACCCCCATTCCAGTCAAAGAGCAAAGACTCTCTGAGGAACCGAGCTGCGTCAGCCTCCCACTGGGAACTGTGGGGTCACAGATCCACACACCAAACACCGAAAAAGGGAGGTGAGCCCCGTTCTGCACCGGGAGGGAAAGGGCTGGACTTCAGAGGGGGGACAGGACAGCCTGGAGGCCAGAGGCGGAGCCTGCAGGGAGGGAGGTTGGGGGTGGGGCCCGCGGAGAAGCTCTGGGCCATGTGGGCCGTGGGCACCTTCCAGTGCTGTCTGGGACCCCCGATCAGAAGGGTCAGGGGAAGGCCACCCTCTCGCCTCCCGGCATCACTGCAGGGTAGTAAGGCCCCCGCCTGGTCAGCGCCCAAACCTGTTCCCCAGCCTCTCCGCTGCCCTGTTCCTACCGTGGCCTGGCCTGCCTCTACAGAGTCTCATGTGCAACCACAGAAGAAGTATCACAAGAGGAGCAGGCATGTTTCCAGGGGGAAACCCACAAATTTTATCAACTGAATGACATATAAAACCTATCTAAGAAGCTTCCTAAAGGAAAGAGCCCCCCCCACCCTGGGGAGACTTCTGCAGGGCCAGGTCAGACAGCCTGCTTGATCCTCCCACCTAAGGGGGGTCACTTCCCTGCACCTCCCCAGTCCTCCTCCCTAAAAGGGGCAGGAGCCACACCACCACCCTGACCTCTTCATTTAGGCCCAGTGTCATGTTTACTGACCTGGTGTTTGGTAAACTCACGGTTTTTGAGCAGGGTCTACATGCAAGCGGGTTCCAGGTCTCCCCCGCTTGTGAACAAAAGGACAGGAGGGACCAAGGACAAGGGGCAGCAGCGCTGGAGGGGACAGAGCTCCAAGGAGCCTGGTGTGCTGGCGGAGTGTGAGCCCAGGCCTGCCAGGATGTGCAGCGGAGGGACGCTGGACTCAGCAGAAGGGGCGCCAGGGTGGGTGCTTGGGGACCAAGGAGACACGGGTTCACTCCGTGTGTGGGGAGCCACTAGGAGACTTAAGTGATGGATCCGGGACACAATTTGAAGGCAGAGTCCACTGGGTTTGCTGGGGGGCTGGATGGGGATGGGGGGCCAGCGAGGAAATGAGAAAAATGAAGGAAAGCGGGCTTGAGCAGCTCCTGGTGATGCTTTTAGAAGGCTGGG